AATTGTTAAACAAGTGATAATGCCGAGGACAGTATAGTTTTCTACACACTTAACACTCGACGATTAAGTTCAAGGGATGGTCGTCCCCGAGGAGTAGGGATAATTTGTGACCGACCTATGCACATGAGTTTATCCCGAGCTTTTATTTTCAGGCTTGGACAAAAGTACAAGGATATATGGTCGGGATATATGTCCTCGGTGTTTATACTTGTGCTGCACTATTTTGATGTGCTGATTATGAGCTCCAAGATTTTGGTGTTTGCTCGAGGCAAGGCTTGCTCGAGGGCAAGGCTTAAAAGGGGCCTTGCTCGAGGCCAAGGCATACATTGGCTTGTCAAAGACAAGGCTTAAAAGGGGCTTGCTCGAGAACAAGGTTTAAATTGGCTTGTCAAGGACAAGGCTTAAAAGGGGCTTGCTCGAGGGCAAGACTTAAATTGGCTTATCAAGTACAAGGCTTAAAAGGGGTTTGCTCAAGGGCAAGGCTTAAAGGGGCTTGCTCGAGGGCAAGGCTTAAATTGGCTTGCTCGAGGGCAAGGCTTAAATTGGCTCGTCAAAGACAAGGCTTAAAGGGGCTTGCTCGAGGGCAAGGCTTAAAGGGGCTTGCTCGAGGGCAAGGCTTAAAGGGGCTTGCTCGAGGGCAAGGCTTAAATTGGCTCGTCAAAGACAAGGCTTAAAGGGGCTTGCTCGAGGGCAAGGCTTAAAGGGGCTTGCTCGAGGGCAAGGTTTAAAGGGGCTGTGTTTATACTTGTGCTGCACTATTGTGCTGATTATGAGCTCCAAGATTTTGGTGTTTGCTCGAGGCAAGGCTTGCTCGAGGGCAAGGCTTAAAAGGACTTGCTCGAGGCCAAGGCATACATTGGCTTGTCAAAGACAAGGCTTAAAAGGGCTTGCTCGAGGACAAGGCTTAAATGGGCTTGCTCGAGGGCAAGGCTTAAAAGGACTTGCTCGAGGGCAAGGCTTACATTGGCTTGTCAAAGACAAGGCTTAAAAGGGCTTGCTCGAGGGCAAGGCTTAAAGGGGCTTGCTCGAGGGCAAGGCTTAAATTGGCTCGTCAAAGACAAGGCTTAAAGGGGCTTGCTCGAGGGCAAGGCTTAAAGGGGGTTTCTCCTGTGGTTGTTCTATGAGTTGTTCTATACGTCCAAAGTATAGAAGGTAGCTCGTCGGACCAAGAACCTCTAGCATCGCTTATTCTTGTTCGGAGGTCTTGCAATATGATTCGATTTGTTACCTCGGCCAGACCGTTGCTCTGAGGATGCGAAACTGATGTCAGACGGTGATCAATCCCAAGGTTTGAGCAAAAGTTTC